CTTTCTATCATAGAAGCGCCCTCGAGTAAAAGGCACATGGTAGCAAATCTGCCCCCATTTCCTTCTCTACCTGGAGTAGAACAGCTCCTATTGCCACATCTGAGTTGTCTGTCTGCACAACAAAGGGGCAGGAGGAGTCAGGGTGATGGAGGAGGGATTGAGAAGCAAAAAGCTGTTTTAACTCTTGAAACATTGCTTGCTCTTGGGTTAACCAGGAAAATCACCAACCCTTTCTTAGGAGCTGGCATAGTGGTTTAATAAGCTCAGCAAAATTAGGGATGAATTTCCTGTAGAAGTTAGCAAAGCCAGAAAGCGCTGCACATCTTTTGCATTACGAGTGTGTGTGTGTGTGTGTGTGTGTGTACATGCACGCTATGATAAAATAGCCTGTATCTTTGCTGGATCCATCTGTGTGCCTTCTGTGGCAATTCTGATTTTGTCCAGTTGGGCCAAATCAGATGTGCATTTTTCTAATTTAACAAAGAGCTTGTTGTCCCATAACTTTTGCAATACATTTCTGACATGGGTTACGTGCAAGGAGGGATCTTCGGAATAAACCAAAATATCATCTGAGTAAACAACTACGTATTTATCTAAAATGTCTGCAAATAATTGGTTCCTGAATCTAGAAAAAACAGCCCTCCAGTTGATTAGGCCAAATGGCATTACTATAGATTCAAATTTTCCATACCTTGTATCGAAGACTGTTAAATACTCATGACCTGCTTTTATTTTGATTAGGTTGTAAGCACTTCTCAAATCTAGTTTGGTAAAGACGTGTGCCTCGTGTAGCCAGTCTAGTAGATTGGAGATAAGCGGGAGTGGATAATGGTCTCTAATTATCACTTTGTTCAGGTCTTTGTAGTCATGAACAGTATGCCTGTGGGCTCCTTCCTTTCCCTTCAGAGTGGCTGCTGCTTCACCCTCTAGTTTTTTGGGTACAAAGAATGTGGAAGCAGATGCTGGTGAACTGGAAGGGCAAATAAACCCTTATTTGACGTTGACATCCAGATACTCCTTGAGTATAGCTAACTCGCATGTAGACATGGGATACTGCTTCTTTGTTAGGATTTAGGCCCCTGGTTTCAAGTTGATGGTACAGTCAGATGCCTGGTGTGGAGGTAAGATGGCTGCTCCTTCCTCCCTGAACACATCTGCATAGGCTGCATATTTTTCTGGCAGTGCTGACCCTCCCTTGTCCTGCAATGGAGTGGGGGGGGGTAGCGTTCACTGCTTGTAAGCGATGTTGTTGCCATTTAGGGGATGGAAATGAGAGTGTCCCTTGCTCCCAACTTATCACTGGGTCTTGCACCTGAAGCCGTTCTATACCCAAGATTATGGGCACTTGCAAAGAGGCAGTTACACAGAGTGTTATGAACTCTGTGTGATCTTTGATTGTCAATTGCAAAGGAACTGTGTGCTGCAGAATTGCTCCTGCCCTTAGTGGCTGACCACCGATAGTCTCGACTATCTCGATAGTTTTCTAGAGCTTGGGTTGGCAGCTTCTGTACCATTTCTATATCTATGAAGGTAGCAGTTGCCCCAGAGTCTACTAGAACAGAAAGCTCCACCTTCTGCCTGGAATCTAAAGAAACAATAACAGGAGTAATCAGATATGCTTGCCTTTTGTTGGCTGTCAGAGCTCTCCTCAAATGGTGGTTGGCCCCCCTGCACAGCTCCTGGGAGAGAGGCCGGTGAAGTTTCCCTGGGGTGCTGTTTGAGAGTGCACTGGGCAATTGCTGGATTCGTGCTCTGTTGATTTACAAGTTTTGCATCTTATTGCTATAACAGCTGCTGGCGCTTTTATCGGGTATGATCTTGCTACGTGTCCTGGGGTCCCACAGTAAAAGCATAGTCCCTAATCCGTTCTTCCTTGCTTCTCTCCGATGACAGGGATCTCTTGGCCACACCAATTGCATGGGCTCTCCTGCACTGGATTCCGAGGAGGGCATCGGGATGGGTGGTATGGGGGAAGACAGATTGTAGGATCTCTTCTCCCTCCCATTCCTTCCCTGCCTCAGTTCTCCCAGTCGGGCATCTATAATTACACAATGCTGATATAGCTCATCCGGGTTATTTGGAGCACCTTGTCTCACCAGCTCATCCCTTAGTTCATTGTTCAGCCCTTCCCTGAACTGGTCAGCATTGCTACCAAGTAATTTAAAGTCTGAAATATACGCCTTAGTCTTCTCTGTCCCTGCTTGAGCTTTCGGATCTCTCAGCTAGCTGTGATTCTCTGTATGGGATCCCCAAAGTGTCCTTTGAGCTTACACATGAAGTCATGATAGTTGTCCAGCACTGGATCGTTCCCCTCAATAAATGATATTGCCCACTTAGCTGCTGTTTCCTTCAGCAAGCTCAGCACAGAAGTCGCTGATCTATCTGCCATAAACTCTACTGGTCTATCTGCCATAAACATTTCACACTGACCAATGAATGTCCAGAATGATCCTGGTCCCTTCCGAACTTCACCAGCAAGCTGCCATGGGAATGCAAGAGCATTGTCTGGGCTGTCATCAGTTGTGCTGCTGCGGGCTAAGGTAAATTCTGCCCTAGTTGCTGTGTTAGTTGTAGCATGGCATTCTGTAATTGGTCATCTGTGCATCTACTTGCTGCTGGTGCTGCAACAACGTGGCTGCCAGATGTTCCATGGATAGTGGGGTTCCTTGAGGATTGGAGGCCATTCTCAAAATTCCTCTCTTTAGAAGAGAGTATGAGACCTGCAAGATTGATGTCATCCCTCCCAGGTAAACCAGACAGGAAACAAGACTAGATGAACTAGTTCTACTTTATTATACATTAGGCTATATTAACAGAATCTTGCAAGTCTGAAAGCACAAATCTCCTGCCCTCCCTATTTACTGCCTAAGTAGTTAGGGTGGGTCTTTCCTAAGGTTCTTTCTTTGACCTTTACCCTGTTGAGGACTTCTTTCTCTCTTATCTGATGCTTACCTAGGCAGCATCTCTTTTCCCCATCTTCCAAGACCACCTTCACGTTCCATCATGATTTAAGAGATTTCACAATTTGATGCAACTGCACGGACTTATTGATATTGCATCCTTTAACAAAACACTTTACATATTATTTAGGTAGGCATTGATCTCATTCAAGAATAGATTATATTTGGGCTTTAAAATATTTTTAATCAATTAGCCTGAGTAGAAAGTTCAGCAGTATACATTTCAGATCATGCTGCAATTATTTTTGTATTTACAGTAGTTTGAATGAAAACACCCATTTAATCATTCTTCATGTTTTAATTCTAGATTGCTATAAAACTCACAAGTGAATAAACATTTACCTCAGAATTTGGATTTATTAAGAAGAAAATGATAGGGATCAAATTTTGTTAACTACAAAATGAAATGCCATAAAGCTGTAAAAAGAGGTGAATATATCAGTAAAATGAGAAGGCTCAAAAAGAAATCTACACAGATGATGAATGTATTATATTTAGGAATTAATAATTTTTGGATAATAGAGCAAGATCAAATAATCTGTATAAGCAATTAGGAGAAGAAAGAGCTTGACATTTTAGAAACTGACTAAATATCAAAACAAATTTTATTTTTAAAGCAAAAATATTACAAATTTGATAAAAAGTACTTAAGGTTATAGGCAAATTTTTAAAAAGCAAGGAAAGGAGATAAAGGCATTAAAAGATACTAAAAGTCATATCATTACTAATAGTAAAAATATTAGTAAAAGGTTTGTCACTTTTAAAAAAGAATTGTACACAATTCTTAGCCTAGCAATAGAAAAAATTAATAAGCACTTGGATAAATTGAATTTTCCAGAATTATTTTTAATGGATGTCAGTATTTGAATTTTCTGTTTGCAAAATCAGAGTTTCATGAGGTTTCTAAAAGTATTAAAAATAGAAAATCTCTGGTTCTGGATGGGTTAACAGGTGAATTCTATAAAGTATTCAGAGATATTCTTGTCACTAAGCAGCTGTGCTGCATTGGGGAGATTTTCTATTATCCCCTTGCAATTCTAAATAATTCCTAAACCAGGTGAAGATCCAGTAGAGGTATTTTTTTAACAGACCTATTTTCAATCAATCTTGATAATAAATTATATACTAAACTTCTGGCCAGTCATTTCAAATTTATTATGGGAAAAATTATACATCCCAATCAATCAGGCTGTCTGCACAATCTGGCTTAGGAGGTATATTGTAGCATGCTTAGAAATACAACAGCCTCTACATAAAACATGTTCCTTCTGAAATATTCCCTCTAGAGACTAATACAGCACCCCCCAGCTTTCAAATATTGTAGGCCTAGTAGCTCATAATTATCCAATACATCTGTGCTTCAGAAGGCTGTAAAATAGGTAATTTTTTTCACATTACATAGGTGAACCTTCCACAGGCATGCAGATTTGTACACATTCTTCTTCCACTTCTGTTCTATATATGATGATAACAATATAGAATTGCCGTCAGCTCTGTCTCTGTTAGTGTACTAACACAAGAGATTGTGTGCAGCCCATTGGATTGTGCTTTAAGGCAATGGAAAAGCTGCTGATTTCTCTTGTGACTGGCTCTCTCCCCCTAAAAACACACTGTTATAAATTTATTGAAATGGTAGAAAGAGGAGAATCTTTTGTTCCAGTCACCTCCAAGCAATCATGCAGGTAGTCATGATCAATCCAATATAGTCCAGACTCCAGAATGCCACTGCAGTAGGAGCAGCAGCCCACGGCCAAGAGAAGAGTGAGGGGACCATTCTCAGAAACAAACCAAGTCACCTGTTGAAATCCCATTCTGTGCCTAGCATCTTAATCTCTGCCAGACAGTTCTTACTTCTTGTATTTTCTGTTATTGTGATAGTGGTTAAATCCATTCGTAGTGAGGTGCTCGTGTTTTTAAGTGAGAAAACTTTCTATCTTGAGTGGACTATTTTGTTAGCACTCTGACCTGGTACAGAATGAGTTAGGTTGATGGAAGAGGTGTTTATGATGTGTTTTGATCCTCTATTTAACAAAATTGCAGGTCCTGATAAGATACCTCTCAGGGAAGAATTTGAACAGATCATGCTGAAAGCTATGCAGGAATTTACTCTAAGGGAACAATCGTTTCAAATGAATGCACAGAGCATCTCCTTGTCGCCAGCTCAACTTCCATGGCTTGCCAAGTTAATTGCCAGCGTTTCCCAAGACATGGTGCATGTGGTGGTTACTCAGAATTCCTTGGCGGAAGGCATTTCTGAAACCCTGCGGTCTCTGAGTGAAATGAAGCACCAACAAAGGGTGCCAGATTACGTGGTTGCTATCTGCACCTCGAAGATCAGAGGAAGTGAGTTCTGCGTGGTAGTTTTAGGTAGGTATTTTTCTCTACAGTATCTTAGGACTAGATTTTGTTGGTGAAATGGAATACAAATATTGGTTGTTTCAGCATGCTCTAAATCTAGTTGCAGTGTTATCATTGGATCCAGGACAGATAGATAGACAGACAGGCAGACACACTGCTGTGTGGCTTACTGAAATCTACTTTTAAATATCCTGCTTATTGCCTTTTTAATAATTTTAAAACTGCGGCAGACTACAAAGAAGTAGGAATGCCAATGATCTTGTGTAGTAAGTATCCTTTTCCATTGTAAACATGGAAAAGTTGCCATGAAGTAATTTCAATATAGATTGCTTTATAAACAATTTTTACTGCTGTGAGAAAAATGAATCTTTGGGTGAAAAAGACAAGTTTCTAGAGGCCTCAGGTGAATGGGATCGCCTTAATAAGATC